TTTGGTTGTAGGACTTCCATGCAGTTCGATTTTGTCAGTTCTGGTTGTTTTTTTGTTTTTAAATTGTTGTTGTCCTTCTCTTGGTTGTTCAAGGAAGTACAGTGTGTCTACCCATGCCTCCATCTTGGCCAGAAGCTATCTTTTCTTTTATATTTTTAACTTTTTTTGTAGTCACTCCAGGTTGTTTAATTAACTGAAGTTATTGGGTACAAATATTTTTCAGTTTGATGTATCTGCCAGTTCTTCCTTGTGGTAGATTGTTCCTTTATGTGGTATGTGAAATTTTTTAAAGATTTTATTTATTTATCTTTAGAGGGGAAGCAAAGGAGAGAGAGAGGGAAACATCAATGTGTGGTTGCCTCCCATGCGTCCCCTTCTGGGAACTGGCCTGCAACCCAGGCATGTGCCCCGACTGGGAATCGAACCGCAATTTTTTGGTTCGCAGGCCCACACTCAATCCACTGAGCTACACCAGCCAGGGCTGGGGGTATGCACGTTTTGAGAGTTCATCTTCAGTGAATGCTACTTTCCACCTCCACCCAACCTACTACTGTGTAAAAGATAAGAGTGACAACTTCATTAACTTTCAAGTAGAAAACCTCTTTAGAGTTCTAACTTATACAGGAATTCCAGTTTTAGCTCCTCCCTAACTGGCTTTAGGGCCACATTTCTTGTTCCTACATGGGGTTAAAAACTCAACTTCTGGCCCCTACTTTGAATTTCTTCTTCATGTCTGGTATCTGAAGATTTGCTTTCTCAATTTTGAGCTCAGATTTATACATTAAAATAGGTATGCTATGTTCATTGTTTCTGTTAAGTTTGGAGGAGGTGGGAAGTCTTATGCCATGAATGTCATTTCTAGGTAGAAATATGATTTTGGTTCCATAGTTTTTGCTGTTTAATGTTAACCCAAATTACCCAAGACCTTATCACTAAGTAAGAATCATCATCTCGTTTTTTATTCTTAGAGTTTGGCAATGTTCTTATGCACATTACCATTCAAATCAACTCTGTGAATAATATTCTGTGAAATATTTTAGGAAATGTAAAGATGACTAAGATGGGCTCTGCATTCAAGAGGCAAACATTACTTAGTACAGAGATTAAGAAGTGTTCATATAGAATCATAAGGCAGAAAGTCTTTAAGTGCCATAGAGATGCACACAGATTTAGAATAATGCCTGCTACAATACATACATTATGAAACAGAATACTAAGCTTGTTAAAAGAATGAAAAGGAAATAGGAAAAAGGCATTTTTTGGTAGTAAGAGAAAAATTTCATGGAAAAGATGTAAGTTGAAATTTGCCTTGAAGACTGAGTGGGAGTTCTAAATGTAATATGGAGGGTAAGTGCTAGATGAGAGGGAGTGGTTCTTCAGGTTGAGGGAAAAGCATACGTTTAAATAAGAAAACAGGAGGGTGGAGAGCATAAACAGGGAACAACAAGTAGTCCAACTTACCAGATTAGATGTTAGAATGATAGTATTAATAGAAAGTAAAAATAAAGGAAATGAAAATAAAGCATGGGTGGGGATGACTTAGAACAGGACGGGCAGGTATGTACAGATAATTTACTTTTAAATTTATTACTGTCTTACATATACAAAAGGGAAGGAAGACTTCGGGCTCAATTTCTAAGCTTAAATTGAAGAACCAGGGTCACATAAACTTTGGTTTGGGGAATTCTCAATGTCTTGACCTAAATGAAAACAGCATTTTTTTTGTCTCTCAGGTGTACAAGTGCCATCTAGTGGTAGAAGAGCGGTACCACGTGAATGAAATTACAGAAAATATTACCTCTTTATTTTTTCACTTGCCACTTATAATTAGCTAATAAAAGTAGGCCATGTTAACTGGGCCTGGAAATAAAGTAATCTAAAACAATATTGTTTTATGGTTGGATTATTAAAATGTGGGGTCAGATAAAAATGGATTATAGACAAAGAGCTTATTAACTATAAAACAGTTGCAAATTTCATATCAGGGATTTCATTCACATCAAATTGCATTTTGGAATGAACCTTAAAGCAGGATTTATTTACTTTTTAACACTGATGAGAGAGAGAGAAGCTGAGATCTGGGTAGGATGCTCTAACCAACTGAGCTACCTGGCCAGGGCCTATTATGTTTTCAGAGCTAGGTGACAGGTGTAAATGAGGAAGAGGCTGAAATGCAGAAGGTAACAGTGTTCCACCAGAATACTCTCGACTTCCTCTTCACGTAACTCCTACTTAGCCTTCAGATCTTAATATAGATGTGACTTCCTCTGGACAATATTCCTTAAACTCTCAGGTCTGTATTAGATGAATCACTTATGTCTTCCTGCCAACACCGATCCCCAGGATGCTTCTCACCACAGTCCATTGTCACTTCCCATTTTTATCTACAGCCCTCATTACAGTCTAAATTTCTTAACAGCTGGTGCCGCATCTGTTTTATTTACTCTTTTATTCCTAATACTTAGGATAGTAGCTGACATACAGGGTGGGGCAAATGTAGGTTTACAGTTGTAAGTATGCGAAAGTTTATTCCTGAATTATTTATTGATTATTGTATTGTTTTCCATATGAACAACTGTAAACCTACTTTAGCTCCATCTGTCTACTAGGCACTCCACAAATATTATTTGCAGAATGAATGGATAAAACAATGAAAAGTTTCACTGTCATGGAAAATGTGCAAGGAACAAATATTGAAAGTTACTATCAATAAAGCTTAAATGAAAAAATATTTTCAGGAAAATTATTAGTAACCTTTTTTATTTATTGCATATCCATTCCCTATAGGATTATAATTTCTTTGTGATCTTTGGTGCTTTGTAGTATTCAGAGTACTTAATTTCTCTCCACCTGAATGAAGAAACAACAGTACATGGCTCACACTGTCACTGCAGAGATTAAATAAAAGACTACCTATAAAGCACACAGAACGATGTATAGCACGTGTTATGTCCTTAATAGTTGGCTTTTATTATTTCACACACCTCATCTCAAAAACTGTGAAGCAACACAGAGTCCAAGAAGGAAGGTATTTTAAAATCCAATTTCACAAATTAGAAAATTAGTGATTATAGAGACTAATGATGCATGAGTGATTGTGCAGCCTCATCCGCTATTAAATTTCTGAACCCATAATATTTAAGTAACAGTTCGTTGTCCCTTCTATGGCATAATGTTGCTAACCTACAGGGAGACAAGAAAATAAAGGACATTTCGATGTTAAATAATAGCAGCTCCTTTGCAAAGAATGAAAACAAAGTGGTAAAAGCTATATTATTTTTCTATTGCTGCTCTTAAAAATGACCACAATCTTAGTGACTTAAAACAACACACTTTTATTATATTATGGTTCAGTAGGTTAGAAGTCCAACACACAGTTCTCTCTAGGAAAAATCAAGGTGTGGCAGGGTTGCATTTGTTTCTCGAGGCTCTAGGAGAGGTTTCCTCATTTTTTCCACTGTCTGGAGGCCACCTACCTTCCCTCCTCCACCTTCGTTGCCAGCAATGATGGGTTGAGTGAGAACACAGCATCACTCTGACTTTCTCTTATGCCTCCCTCTTCTGCATTTAAGGACCCTTGGGATTACACTGGGCCCACCTAGATAATCCAGGATAATCTCCCTATTTAAACATCAGCTGATTAGCAAACTTCATCCACTTTTTCCATGTAAGGTAACCTATTCACAGGTTCCAGGGATAAGGATGCGGACATCTTTGAGTGGACAAGGGTCATTATTCTGCCTATTCCTATTGTAGAGGACTAGTGAAGTCTATGGGAGATACTGACCAGGGGATCCCCCAAATGAAAGGGCTGGTGATGGTGGGCACGGTTTTTCAACCAAAAGTGTTAGAGGTATCACTGTAAGCTACCTACTATATTATTAACTCACATTGATCTTGGCAGACACTAAAACCTCTGGATGTTTTTCACATGGCTAAACCAGAATCTATCCAATTTGGAGTTCTCAGTTTTATTTTTCAATTTGAATAAATGTAGGGATTTTCATATGTTTCTATTAAATTTTATCTTTAGATTTTAGCAGAGTTTAAATTGTTAGTATAATTTTGTTTCCTGATTCTGACTTCAGCCAGCCATACTTTCTAGGCTATATAGGTTTTATTCATCTTCTGATTTGACCATAATGATCATTATGGCCTCACCTATAAAACTGGTGAAAAATTATAAACAAAAAAAAATTATAAACAAAAGTTTGGCTACAATTATCCAACTAACTTTGACTTTACCTAATTGTAATTATATCAAGCCCTTATTTTAAAGTCCCACCTACAAATATCATGGAAGAATAAATGCTTTGCTGCAATTAATTTATATCAAGACTGTACAATTTCCATTTTCATTGAAAAATAAAATCAAACTCCTATAAATGTTCATAAAATATATTTAATTACATACTCTGGAATTTTACTTCTCTGTTTTAAAGTTTTTAGTGTCTATCTTCTTAAACAATTTTTTAAAGCAGGTGATCTATCATCTTTTTCATTTTTTATAGTTTCTTTGAACTTAACAGCAACGGGTCTCAGGTTACCTGTAAACAGCTGTGGGATGTAATTTGTGCCTGGAACACATGAACTTATTGGAAACAGATAGGTGTTTGCTTACTATCTCCTCGCCTATCTCAAGTTTCAGTTCTCTTTCTACATTGTTTCACCTTTACAACTTTAAAGTCTATTTTCCTTACTGAGTAGAGAAAGAACACACAAATAGTGTCAAGTCTCTTTTTGAGCCTTTGCATTATATCTTAGGTAAGCTAATAATTTTGTATTTATTAAAACCTATTCAGGCTTATTTCCCTCTGCCCACTACAGTTAAAAAATTCTCCCCATCTTTTCCTCTTGAAGATACCAGGTAATTCCAGCCCCGAGTAATTCCTCTGTATTACTCTATATTTTGCACCACATAGTTTAAAAGTGAAACAAATATTATCTCCTATTTGATACTTTTTTTTTTGGTCTCTCAGAATAAATGTTGATTTCTTTACCTGTTTTTGTTTGGCTGTAAAGTTGGGATTCTGGCTAAACCAGAAGGCTAGGTGCATCATGTACTCTTGTGGGTTGGTTGACTTTTTAGACATCACATTTGTCAAGGTAGTCTTCAATGATTAATCTCCTTGAATAATTTTTCTGTTTGGAGAAATACAAAAAAATATTTTGAAATCTTTTAAGTGTAATAAAGCAACAACAACAACATTAGTAGTAGTAATAAAAGCCAAACTAAAACTACTTTCAGAGGTCATTCTCTGCTTCAACCCTCCACCCAGTATTAATGAATCATTTCCCTAGGCAATTAAATAACCATCTCTGCCACATTTGAAATGGTAGTTTGGGATTCTATTGTTAACATTGTGGAATTCTTTTTCTACTTTCTCAGTCAAGTCTGTGTTGTTTTTTTTTATGTGTTTTGCCCTGTTCTAGAAAAAAGTACCAACTTGAAATTACACCTAATTTCAAGCCCTGAATTCAAGCCCTAATTTAAATCCTGATTTTAGGAACCACATCATTCTCTTGGCACTTTATTTTTAGCTTGCAGAAATGGCAAATGTTTAAAAACAATTCATAATGGTGTTTAACAATAATAAATTTTAAAAATGGCAATGGAATTTTCAATGTATTGATAATCATACAAAATAATGTATTGATTAGATATCAGGAATACATTGCCCCTACAATTTAGAAATCTTGCTCTTAATTTTGGCTAAAAAAATCATAAGAAACCCATTAAATAAGTCAAGTACAAAATCAACACAAACAGAACCCACTGTTCAGCAGAAGGTTATACTGTACATTGGTATTTTGGGTAGCAGATCTGATTCTCTTTTGCATTAAATACTGTCAAAATTTTGGTTCACTATTTATTTTGTCCCACAAGGCAACCTGTTAAATCTCAATCTATGACTTCTATGATCAATGTATTCCCATGCGATTTGTCTTAAGAATCTGTTAATGAGGTATGGGGATTTAGGTTGCCACCATGACAACCAGGCATCATGGCTTGTTTGCTATTTCCTAGACACAGAAACTCAGAGAGCAACATCTTCCCCGTAGATGTGTATTTAATAGTTGGACCTGGTAACTATGGAAATGTAGATTGGAATTATGTGGCTAAATTGTTTACAAGGTTCATGCAATCTGATAGGCATCCCACTCAAAAAGAAAGTATGTCATAGCCAATACAATACTCGGGGCAGTCTTTTTTAGCATTCTGTTATGTTGTTCCCACGGCCACAAGATCATTGTAGGTTTGTCACTCATTCCTTAAGAATTTCCTTTCCCTTATTTAAAGGTCTATTTTGTTGAGTTTGTGGGGATAATAATGACAACAGTATTTGCATACTCTTGTACATGTGCTTTCTCATCAGTAGTAAGATCAACAACATTCATTGCACACTATGATACATAAAATCTAGAAATGTATAATGGTATAAGAAAAAGCTCTTAATCCCATACTAGTTAAAATTTAATTGAAGAAAGTACATAAATAAAATGATATGGACAAGGCGTTGTGCTGTTGGGGGGAAACGGAAATAATTTTGTCTGGGGGGGGGATGAGATTTTTACAAAATCATTGGTTTTTGGTCCTGTTATCTTGAAGCAAGAGTTAGAGGCATAAGCAAACAGAATGAATAATGGAGAACAGCCGAAGAATAAGAAACTCGGGAAACAAATGCCTTGAATAGTGGTAGAAAAATGAGTAAAATACTGATGTTAAAGCAAGTTAAGGCTACAAGTCAGAAGTATAATTGGATGGCTGGGTGTGAATTAATAATTCAATAACATTTTTTACCAAGTTTATCTTTGATCTACATTTATTAATTTGCCCACAAATTTAAGGCCATTAGAAATGCATTCTTCTCATAGTCAATACTGTTGAGATAATGGAGTGTGGGGCCAGGTAGCTGGTTGGGGCAGGGAGGGGACCACAACTCTGTGGAATGTATGCTTTTCCACCACTTTGCTCTACAACTGAAACTGGTGCAGAATGGTAGTAAATGCAAACTGTGATGGAAAAATCTAAATAAAATGCAAAAAAGATAAATTCTGAATTTGTAACAAAAATGTTCTAGGTATTTCAAAAGAAAAAAAATAGACTATGACTACTTTTCATTACCTGCCTTCTGCCGTATTCTGGTGTAGTTTCTATGACAGTCTATTTCCTTTCCCCCAACTTCCACTGCCAGATTTTTAATCATCATGGATTCTTGCTAAAGCTCTTTGAATTTCCTACTCAATACATATTTGATAGAATAAACAAAACTTGATTTTTTTTTTTGGTAGAACTTGGCATTTCGACTGGTTGGGAGATTTGGCTTAAATTTGAGAAAAACAAGATAAGTTTAAAAATATGCAATGTACATAGAATCGACAGAAATTAAAGAAATAATAAATTATATTACCCAAAGTAAAAAACTGAGAAAAGAAATGTGGCCATACAGAAACCAGAAGAGGAAAGAAAATCAGTGATGCTAAACGTTGTGAGCTTTTCTTTCACGAAAACATTTGACTACCATTTAGGTCACTTTGGGTAATAAAACTCAAAACATCAGTTTATATTTTTAGCGAAAACAAGGTGATAGAGACCCTCTCAAGGATACCATGTGCCTCAGGCCGTTTTTGAAAGTCAGGATCTGCCACTTTCCCAGACTCTCAAGAAAACAGTTCAGAAACTGAAAGCATCCTCAACGTCCAGATGTTCTAGGTCGGTGTCTGATTCGAGGCCGACGCAGCAGTTATGAAAACGAGGTCACTGCACCCCAGACGCTGCGCAGAGAAGGGGCTGCGGAGTGAATCAAAATGCAATCCTGGGAGAGGACCGTTCAAACGCCCAGAAAACTTGTAAGAACGTATTCTTAAAACTAGATGGCACGGGGAAGCAGCTGTGGCGAGGGCTGCAGGCCAAGGCCACAAGGGTTCGGACTCACACACCAGCTCCAGACTACAAGCCAGTTGCTTCGGCCTGTGCCTCACCGGGGAGTGTGGGTAGGTCTCCACAGAGCAATCACATCACGCGGGACTCCCAAGGGTCCACGGCTCCACGACTCCAGGGCGTGCTGGATCTGCGTAAGCGCCTGCCCCGCTGGTTGCGCCCCTCAGAGCCCCGCCCCCAGGAGCAAGCCACGCCCTGAGTCAAGGCCTTCCCAGCCTGCGCTGGTCCCGGTGGGCGGAGCAGCGTCCTGGGCCACGCCACGTCCTCTAGGAGTCCCGCCCCCAGGTGAGTTCAGCTGGAGGCGGAGCCAGGCTTCCACCACCCAGCACCTCTTTCTCGGAGTGTAGCCAGCCCTGCAGCTCTGGGGTGCACGGCGGGGTGCAGCGGTGGGAACGCGCGCATGCGCGTGCACGGGCCTGCACCCTCACATACTTTTCTCGCAGACTGAGCGCGTCCAGGCCTGTCACCGCTGCTGATCCGGCCGGACCCTAAGGTGAGGGTGGATCCGAGGGCAGTGGTGTTTTTGCCTCACTGGGAAAACCGCTCCTGGGGGCCCAAAGGGGTTTAGCCTGGCTGTCGGAGGCGGCCGTTGAAGGGCTGTCGTGAGAGTGGAGGCGATAGGGGGAAGGTTCGGGGGTCTAAGGTGTGGAGGCAGCGGGCCTCGGAAGGAGGCCTAGCCAGCGAGCCCAGTCTCCGGGGAGCAATCCCAGTGCGCAGGAAGCACAGTTGGATGCGGTTTGCTCTTCCCAGGGGGATGGTGTGCGGATGCTGAGGGGGTCCGTCCAGGACTCAGGACCCGGGACCGGCCGTGGGGCACCTGCGAGGCTGCGTCTGGCTGGACGTGGTGGTGTCCATCCTCAGGAATTGGTGACTGATGGAAGATATTGTGCAGTCAGGTCCCCTCTGAGCAGCAGGATCATTAATTAGCGTATTCGTTATTCCTAAGGGTTCGTGCTCATCACCAGTGTGCATGCAGAGGGAGTTGGGTGATGTGAAAATGCGCACATCTCGTGACACGGTTTGGGGGGAAGATACCCTGATTCCGAAACCCCAAAGAAAGGCCCCTCGCGTGCAAATATTTCAGTATATATGAAAGTTAGGCAGGCTGGAGGCATTGAGCTCGGTTTAAGGCGATAGTAGCCCGAGGAAGGTTTGTCTTGGGCTCCCGAGGCTTAGATGTGCATTTTTAAATAAACAAGTCTTAAAGAAGGAAGACATTCACTTCTGCTTTCCATCAAGGACATTCTGAAGGAACAGAAGGGTACAAAACTATACATTGGACTCCCGAGTATGAGCCACACTTGATATTCACTCTTTTAATCACAACAGCAGCTTTGAGAGGGTGGAGGGGTTATTCTAATTGTGCAGATATAGAAAATGAGCCGCCAAGAGGTTAAGTTGCTTGTGGAGGTCTCAATCCAGGGATGCCAGACTCTAAATTCTTTATATTTTGTGTCTGCCCAAAGAGAGATATTACATGTTTTCAGGGAAAACTCCAGACAAGAGAGCATTAATTTAATTAGGGCAATTAGGGCTCTTGGGGTATTTGGGTTTAAATCAAACTAATAATGCATTAATTTTTTAATATGTGCTATTTAAGTGTATTTGTCTTTGAAAGGGTTTGTAGTATAGGGAAATCTTGCATTCAAGGTAAAAACAAACTTATTAGTAAATCCCATGTTTATTTGAACGTCTTACTTTGTAAATACTAAACTATGTGCCAAGAGTACCAAAATGAATACACTTTATAATCTCTGCCCTTGAATTTAATTCAGAAAATGATCTTACAAAATAATTCTGTAATATTTAAGTAGTAATCTTCACAGGTGTGTGGATTAACTGGATTTAAATAGTCGTAAGCACAAGCTTTTAGGATCCATTAAAAAAGGTGTTGGGTAGCTTATCATGTACCATTGCATTATTATTTTTCCATTCAGCAAGAAATGCTGCCATAAAATTTAGGTTAAATCATATTGACAATTAGTATTTTGTTGTACTCTTTACACTTCCTTCAGTGAATTTTAAAATAGTAGAGAACATTTTTAATGTATTCCCTGTTTAGTTGAAAGGCTTGATTTTATGTTGCTTTTATTTCATTAGTTGAGAAGCCAGTGTGGGCAGGATTTCTTTCAAGTCACCTGCCAAGTGTGTTCTTACCCTCTTACTCCGAAAAATAAATGTTAAGTTAAAAGTACAGGATGGGGCAAAAGTAGGTTTACAGTTGTTCTAAAGAAAATAATACAATAATAAATAAGAATATAAGAATAAACTGTTTCATGGACTCACAACTGTACACCTACTTTGGCCCTGTCCTGCATAGAAAAATAACAGATTTCATATAAGCATTTATGGCTCAAAGTTCTAATGGACAGAGTTTTCCGTTTAATAACATTACATTAGGCATAGCTTTAGGTAAATGGGTAGAAGGATTAGTAGGGTATTTGAGAAATTTCTAATAGCTTCACTTTTCTCAGTGGAATAGGAATCAGATCATAATCTGAGGGTGATTCTGCAGGTGGATGCTTGGAGGTTTGGGGGTTTGGGCAAGTGCATGGACCAGTGAAATGTGTGATTGCCAAGCAATGAAACAATCACACCGAGGTATGAAAAGCCTGATAATGGGGTGCTGTATACGAGTACACAAAACTGTGTCTGCTTTGGTTTGGCAAGATAGGTATTTCACAACCCATTTCCATGACCTGTTTTTACAGTTGTCTGGACCATACAAATTCGCTTTGCCTGTGCCTCTGCCATAGTGCAGGTATCCTTGTTCTTTATGCAAGTTAAGCCCTTCCAGGAGTTGAGCTTTTCCATTCTTTTTTCTCTGCCTGGAATTTGCTTTCCAGTCTTTTTCAAGCTCTTCTCCCCACCTTACACTGATCACATTATATTAAATTTTATGTATCTGCAAAATCAGTGACAGAGTCTAACTTAATTTTTGTCAGTATGTTTAGTGCATAAGTTTCTCAGTAAATGTTAAATGAATTTGCCACTTTTCTTCTTTCTTATTCCTTTAATCCATAACAGGGGTCAGTAGAGAGCCAGATAGTAAATATTTTAGGTTTTGCAGACCATCTGGTCTCTGTTTCAGTTACTTAACTCTGCTGTTTAGCACCAAAGCAGTCATACACAATAAAGAAATAAATGAGCATGTCTGTGTTCCAATAACACTTTATTTATAGATGTGAAATTGAAATTTGAATTTCACATAATTTTTACATGTCACAAATTATTATTCTTTGATCCTCCCCACCATTAAAAAATGTGAAGCAACACTCAACTCAGACTGTGCAAAACGGGCCGGATTTAACCACCACCTGCTCCACGGTAATTTGCAGGCCTTCGATCTATGTACAAGGACACTCAGCAAGCACTGATAAACTGATGTGCAGGAAGGCAATATTGGTTATAATATTGCCATCAGTGTTAGAGAAGCAAAGATAAATAAAGCAGGTTTTTTGTGTTTTGTTCTTGTCAAGGATCTCATGATCAAGTTCAAGATTAAGACATGTAAACAAATAGTGCTGACAATTTGGTAACTGCAGTTACAGTTTATTGGATATGGATGTGGAACAAAAGAGTGATTTAATCAGCTTTGTTTGTGTGGACTGGAAGTAACCACTTAACAGTCATCTGTTGGAGACAGGGAACAGGTTCAGCCTTTCTGGGGAGCTTTCAAGCTTGCTCAGGTGGTTGACCACATCTGTTAACCAGGAGGCTATGAACATCAGGATGATTTCCATTTCTTTGTATGCTGTAATCTGACTTCATTCCTCAGAAATAAAACTAATGCAGTCCAAATGATTTTTCCCCTAACAGTTATTTCTAAAGGTCATGTACATTTTGTATTGCTTTGAGAAAGGTGAAATATGTTTCACAGCACATCAGTGTAGTAAGTAATACTTCCTTAATAAATTAATAAATGAATTTGATACTGAATTTTGGATCATGTAACTTCTAGTCTTTAAATCCATTATTAATATATTACAAAAGGAAGGTGGGCTTTAGTAGGCTTTCAATTTTCTTGCAATTTATTGGGTTTATGGTGAATTTTTTTTCTAGGAAAACATTCACCTAGAAAAGTTACATATTCGATGAATTCTTCAATGATATTAGATGTTTAAAATGTATCTAATTATGATTTAAAGCTGTACAGCACACTTAATGCATTCCCCAGGTATGCTGTGAAGCAGTGAAAAGTAACTTAAAAAATTTTTTAAAATTTGGCCCTGGCTGGTGTAGCTCAGTGGATTGAGCCAGGCCTGTGAACCAAACAACCGTGGTTCGATTCCCGGTCAGGGCACATGCCTGGGTTGCAGACCAGTTGCCAGCAGGGGACGCACTAGGGGCAACCACACATTGATGTTTCTCTCCCTCTCCTTCCCCTCTAAAGATAAAGAAATAAAATCTTTAAAAATTTTTTTTAATTTGTATACTCTTATTTCTGTCTTTGTCATTGTTCTTTACCAGTTAAGCACTGGGTTTGTTAAAGAGTTTTAAAGATACTGCATTGGTAAGAGTTCGAGTTAGAACCATATCAAATATTTTAAGTTCTAAAAATTATGTTTAAAAAGCTATTAGACGTTTTACTGCATTTCAGTCCTGAACTTGTATTTCAAGGATCATCTTCTAGTGTATGTTGGAAAAGAGAGGGTCTCATGTATGTTCTCTGCCCAGAGAGCTGCTCTTCAGTGTTACGTGGTCCTCTCCACCATGTCTGACTCGGCCATGTGCTATGCGAACTGTATGACCACAGAGCGAACTCCTGGATATGGTCTGTTGATTCTGCTGCCACTTCCAGCCAGTGCTAACCTGTGGCACAGTCCAGGCATTCTTTACTACCTCCCCTTTTTACTCTTTTGAAAATCTCCACTTGCTGAAGCCCTTTTTAATAGCTGCTTTAAAGTTTTTGTCAGATAATTCCCAAATCTTGGCATTGGCTTCTATGGATTTTCATTTCTTAAAACACTCAATATGTTCCACATAATTCATTTGCCAAATAATTTTGGATTGTAAGGAACTTTTGAGCTTTGTTTTATTCTGGTGGAGAGTGTTGATATTTTCTTTTAGCCTGCCGTCAACCCAGTTAGGTTCAGGTTGCAGGTTTCTGCCCACACTCTTTCAGCTGTGGCTCTAATTTCAGTTTTGTTTTTCCCTTCTTTTTGTTGCACAAATATAATTTGC